TTCCCGTCCAACCGCTGGTCCCTCCCTCGTCCAACCGCCCCCCTCCGATCCCTCCCTCCTTCCCCCCTAGCTCACCTCACTCTCTCAGGCGATGCCCCCCAAGCCCCGTCACCTCCCCGCACATGCGCACAAAGCTCACTGGGACTCCATGCCCCAGCAGGCTTTGCGCCAAACAACCCCCCCACCTCCGTCCCCCTCCCCCAATCCCATACTCCGAGTCGCTCGTTCCGCCCAACAACTCCCCATGCGGCCCGGGCCTCAAGCCGAACTACAACTCCCAGGAAGCGTCGCGGCAAAGGCCGCTGCCCATTGGCCCTCGCCGTGGGGACCCGCTCACCCTTGTTTGTCACCGCCTGGCGTCTTCCCCAACACTGGAACTACATTTCCCAAGATGCACGAAAGCGTCGTCTGCGGCCTATTGGGCCTTGACGGCGCAAGTGTCGCGGGCTCTCTGAGCGCGTCAGGCTTTGGAATACATTTCCCAGAATGCACGAGGAAGCTTCCCAGTAGTCTGCGCGCGGGCCCTGGGCATGCGCAGACGTGTCGAGAAAAAAAAGAGGGAGGAGTAGGAGGAGCCATGGCGGCGCTGTTGTGGAGATTAGGGGAGGTCGGGCACCGCCGGGCATTTGGGAGGTGGGGCCTCCAGAGCTCTAGAAGCTGGCAAGCGAAGAGGAGGAGGAGACCAGGCTAGAGTTCTGCGCCAATCAGGAGTGCAGGCTACGTCTCCTTGACTACGGATCGCTTTTTTTGTGTGTGTGTCCTCACTCTCCACCCGGGCAGAACTTAAGAGCCGATGTCGGTGCCAGGAATCAGGACGCGAGCGGGCTGCCCTCCTGTTCCGGGGTGGGCGGTGGTTCAGGAGGGGGCCAGCGCGGGGGCCTCGGTTTAGCTCTTCCTGTGTGAACCTGGACAGGACACCGCCCTCTCTTTAGCCTCAGTTTTTCCTGGTGTGAACTGGGGGACAGCGCTACGTGCCGCGCGTCCTCGCTCTGCCCCATTGGACAGACTATTTCCCCGTCCTGAGGCCTCAGTTTCTGCATCTCAGGACTGCGAAGAAGACAGACATCCTAAGAGATCAGCTGACGCCCTTTATCTAGACAGTTCCAGACCTGATTATGGCTCATACAAGCCCTACCTCAGCCCGCGGCGTATTTCCTCCTCTGTACAACAAGGATAAGAGAATCCCCTCCCCTCCCCAACCTCCCCGGCTGATCCGAAGACTCTGCGCCATAAAAAGGAAGACAGTAGCTTACCCATAACAAGCATTCATTACATGGAGGTTGTTCCTCTTACCATATTCATAAATGAACAACTTGCCCCAGGTTTCACATGCGATGAGTGGTTGACTCAGAACCTTGTGACCAGTTTGCCCACGGTGGCCTAACCTGCCCCGGCCCACCTATCTACCCTCTGTCTTCTCCTGTTTAATGAGTTCCAGTCATGCCTCCTTTCTGCTCCTAGAACACCGTGATCTTCTTCCCACTCACATCCGATGGCCTACTTGACATCTCCACTTGGATTTCTTAATAGGCATCTCAAACCTAAGGTGGACAGTAGAGAATTTTTCTCCCCTACATTGTGAAGAAACTTATTCCTTCCCATTACTCTATCATCTTAGATAGCAAGTCCATCATTCACCCAAATGTTCAGGCCAAAAATAGAAAAGCAGCCCTTGATTATTTTTTTGTTTGTTTTGTTTTGTTTTTTGATACGGGGTCTGGCTCTGTCGCCCAGGCTGGAGTGCAGTGATGCGATCACAGCTCACTGCAACCTCCGATTCCCAGTCTCAAGCGATTCTCGTGCCGCATCCTCCTGAGCAGCCAGGACTACCGCCGTGCACCACCATGCCCAGCTAATTTTTGTATTTTTAATAGAGATGGGATTTGCCGTGTTGGCCAGGCTGGTCTCAAACTCCTGGCCTCAAGTGATCTGCCTCCTCGGCCTCCCAAAGTGCTGTGATTGCAAGCGTGAACCACCATGCCCAGCCAATTCCTCTTTTTCATCACCTGCCGCATGCAATCTGTCATCAGGTCCTATTGGTTCTGTCTTCAGAATAGAGTCAGAAGCTGTCCACAGCTCTCCTGTCTACGGCTACCACCTGGTCTAAGTCCCCATAGCTTCTTTAGACATTGTCATGCTTCCACTCTGGCCTCTTCTGCTTCCTGCCCCCCACCAGTTCCTACTCCACACAGCAGCCAGAGGGATCTTTCTTTTTATTGTGGTAAAATATATATAAGATAAAAATTACCGTCTTAATCATTTTTAAGGTACAGTTCAGTAGCATTAAGTACGTTCAAGCGAGGCCAGGCGCGGTGGCTCACGCCTGTAATCCCAGCACTTTGGGAGGCCGAGGCGGGCAGATCACAAAGTCAGGAGTTCAAGACCAGCCTGGTAAACAAGGTGAAACCCTGTCTCTACTAAAAATATAAAAATTAGCTGGGCATGGTGGCGGGTGTGTGTAATCCCAGCTACTTGGGAGGGTGAAGCCAGAGAATCACTTGAACCTAGGAGGCAGAGGTTGGGGTACAGGGAGCTAAGACTGTACCACTGCACTCCAGTCTGGGCAGCAGAATCAGACTCTGTCTGTCACCCAGGCTGGAGTACAGTGGCTCAGTCTCGGCTCACTGTGACTTCCCCTCCCAGGCTCAAGGTATTCTCTGCAGGTGCACACAACCACACCCAGCTACTTTTTTTTCTTT